TTTACAATATTTTTAGATCTAGAATTCTTGTCACATTTCTGCCAACAATTGTTGGGCTGATGTGATTGAAGGACTGATTGTTAATTGAAATTGAACAGGTTTATTGAAACGAAAACTTATTAAAATTTTTCTTGCATTGAAATACACTCATTGAAGGCTTGGATTCTAAATTGTGGTTGCTATTGAGTTGAAATTGGAAAATTCTAAATAAATTGAATTGAAATAGAATTAAGTCTCATTGAAAGTCAAATCGAACTGACATTGGACACTTGGAAAGAAAATTATATAGTACTATATTTTTGGCTAATTGAAGGTCCACTTGTCAATTGCAATTGTACAGAAAAATCAAATTGAACTGACAAGCTTAAATCATGAAATTTCTTTAGTCGTACGAATTTCAATTGAAATTGAAAATGAAATGAATGAAGTTAATCTTCTTCAAATTGGAAAATTGGGATTGTTTAATATTCAATTGACAAAATTCAACTTGAAATTGAACATGAAAATTGAAACGTATTCAATTCAATAGAAATTACAATTCTCAATCACAGTTTTGAAGTAAAATTTGGCTCTGATAATTAATTGAAATTGAAGTAGAAATCTATTGTGATTGAAATCGGAATTCTGATTAGAATTGAACCTGGCTTGAAAAGAAGCTACAACTTTAATGAGCTTTGATTGGAATAAGCTAAGAACTATTAGAGTTCGTAATTGAAGCAAAAGAGACTTTCAATCAAACTTAAAGTGATGTTTAAGACGATCTACTTGGAGTTTAAATACGGAATTTAGATTCTTTATTACACAGCTATATTTCTAAACCAAAAATCTCAAATTGAAGTAAAGCTTTAGGTGAAAGCCTTGGAGTGAAGTTTCTTCTAGACTTTTCTTTGCAATTACGTTCGAGTGGCGGGCAAACGTATTCAGCTCACAAAAGAAAAGCAAAGAATGATGCGAACGGATAAATATGTATATTAGCTCCGACCACATGCGGCATATAGAAATAGACTATGTTCCATCTAGTATATAAATTTGTATGACGTAAGCTCACGAGTCGTCGTCGTCGTCGTCGTCGTCAATGTTGTTGTCGTCGCCTTTGACGTTGCTAACCTCTGTCTCAACTGAGAATGTCTTTTACTTTGGTTGATTTGTCGCGGTTGATTCTCCCGTTGACAGTTGTGATATTATTTGATTGCTTTTCTGATTAACTTTGCAATTTGTTGCAGGACCGGCGCGTTGCAAACCGAAGCGTAAAATCGAAAGAACAAAAACAAAAAAAAAGAAGAAGAAATAATGAAAAATGAAAAAAGGCAAATCCCAAGTACAGACACTTTTCAACGAGCCGAACGCATTAACGGAAACTACTGAAATGTGAAAAGACACCGCAAAAATGTTCAAGCATTGGAGCTGTTCCTGATCTCACACACACACACACACACACACACACATACAGTCAAGGCAGAGCAAGAGAGCAGCCAAGTTTCTGCAGAGACTGGGGCTAACTTCGATATTATTGATGCTGCTGTAGATGTTGCTGCCGTGCCTCGTACATGTTGCTGCTGTGTGCGTGTTGAGTTGGCCCAGACCAACAGCAAGCAGGCGAGGCAGGTGAGGCAGGGGCGGGGCGGGGCAGGTCGGGGCGGCGTTGTGTTTGCCTGTTCTTCGAAAAATTGCTCTCAGTCAAAGTTCTATATATTCTTGCTGCCGATTTCGAAATATGCCACACACTCAAACACACACACTCACACACACTTAAACACACATACCCACACAGTCATAAATTAAATGTCCGCGAGAACTGTTTTATTTTGTTCGAATTTCGAAAAACATCAAAATTGAGTTTTGAAATCGTTTTGGCATACGCTGCCGCGTCATTCGACATCTTTCTTTGTTTTTAGCGAAAGTAAAAGCTAGAGCAGCTGACAGAGCGAGCGAGAGAGAGAGAGAGAGAGAGGGAGAGAGCAACAGCTAGAGAGAGAGAGAGAGAGAGAGAGAGATTGCTGAGCGAATTATGAAAGGCAATCATCTGAGCAGACTTTTCGACAAGAGCAACGATCTCTGCTTTTTGCACTGCCTGTCGCCTTAATCGTTTCAAAACTATATTTATGAACGTGTGGAAATATTTGAGAAACGTAACTTTATTATCTAACACAATCAAATAGCTAATAAAAACGATGTGCGCTGTGCTGCCTCTGCCCCCAGGCGCACCGAATGACAGAAATTTTGATCAAAGCTAATTGGCTCAAATGGAATTTGCTATAAAAATTAATGATCTTTTTAAGGGAAGCACAAGATGAAAGATTCTGTTACAATTTAATTTGTGTTGCCATTTTATAGAAGAGATAAAACACCTGGGATAAGTGCATAGATGATAGCTAAGCATGTGCCCATATTTTATGCTATTCTCATAGCATATATACCAATTGACAGCATTGTCTTTGGTTCCACATATGTGTGGGAGGTATATCTATATGGAGGGTGCTGTTTTTATTAGAGGTTTACAGCTTAACCTATTTAATAACTGGTAAATGCTTATTGTCTATATTGGCTTGACATTTCTAAATGGATACCCTAAAGATGGAGAGGGATACACCAAAGAGAGAAAGAGAGAGAATGAAATCTAGAAAGACAGAGAGAGAGAGAGAGAGGCTCAAATGCATAGCAGAGATTGTAATAAATAAAATATCCAAAAAAAAAAAAAAAAAAAAAAA